AGGTTTTCCAGCTGAAATATCATTAAATTGTATTAGCATCTTATTACACACACGCCTTAGTGGTCTGCCTCAGACAGGGAGAGTTTTTGTTTCTCTTTGAAAGATTGTGTCTGGAATGGTAAATTGCCTGCTTGAAAGCCTCCCCCCACCCCCCCTGTTTTTAAGGAGGAAGACGAAATCCTGCTGTGTGCGGTGGCAGTCAGGGCAGGCCTGGTGGCCCCAGAGAGGAGAGTCCAGAGGCCACATTGGGGTGTTTTAACTGCCCAGGGAGCGGCTGCAGTAGCAGGCCTGAAAGGCCCACTGTTCCCAGGGTCAGCTGGAAGGGCGTTAATGGAGGCCCAGGGTGTTTATTTGAGTTTATTTGCAGAAAGGTCTTTAAAGGGGGCTGGCATTGGGCATTGGTGTTTCAAGTCCAGACCCGAGGCCCCCACTAAGACCAATGACTAGTGCTGCCAAGAAAACATCTGCCACCACATTGCTGCCCTATTACTGAGTTGACATTGATCATTAGCCAGGAGCCCAACCAAATAAAGCCTCCTGGAAAATGTGTGAGGTTAAGACGGGGAAGGGGGCTGTGAAAACAGGACGAAATCTTGGGCTGGGGTGTTTGTTCCTGCACGCTACAGGCAGGCCAGCTGGGCTGTGTGGTCCCCACACTTCTAGAGGGAGGGGACAAGAATACACTCAGTACTCTACATCCATTGTGCCCCTGTTGCGTGTGGGGTGCAGCGCAAGGAAACCATTAGGGATCCAGCAGGGATCCAGGCAGACTTACTCTCATGGGACATACACTCTGTAGAGGGACGTTCAACAGGTAAATGAACAAACACAAATTAGGATGGATACTGGGAAGATGCTGAATAACGGGTTGATGAGCGTTCTTTAGGTAAGGCACAGCCTCTGTGACATTTATGCTGGAACCTGAAAGACGAAAGGTCAGGCACGCATAGGCTGCATAAACCATTAAAGGCAGAGAGCCCAGCCCATGCACAGGGCTTGAAGCATGGACTGTTAGGCTTGTTTCAGGAAATGAAAGGAGGCCTGTGTGGCTGGAAAGTGGTGGGGAAGGGGTTGTGGTCCGTATGAACTTGTGAGGTAGGCAGGCGCCAGATCGTGTAGGGTCTTGTGGTCAGGAGCTTGAGTTTGGTCCTTTGGTCAGCAGGGGAGCCTTTGAAAGATTTTAAATAGGAGCATGACATGATCTTATTTATGCTTTTTTTTTTTTAAGACTTTTTTGAATTGGGGAAGGGATACATTGTGTTTCTCCAGGACCCATCAGCTCCAAGTCAAGTTGTTGTTCTTCAATCTTAGTTGTGGCGGGAGCAAGCTCAGCTCTCAAGTCGCCGCTTTCAGTCTGGTTGCAGGCGGGGGTGCAGCCCACCATCCCATGCGGGAGTCGAACCTGCAACCTGTTGTTAAGAGCACACGCTCTCACCAGCTGAGCCATCTGGCCGCCTGTTGGCAGCTTGGGCGCAGCTCACTGGCCCATGTGGGATTCGAACCGGCAGCCCTGTTGCTCAGAGCTCGCGCTCTTAACCAACTGAGCCACCCAGCCAGCCCCTGATTTATGCTTTTTAAAGATCATTCTGGCAGCCGTGTGGATCCTAGATTATGAGGGAGCGATAGTAGAAGCTGGGAGGTAAATGAGGAGTCTGGGCAAGATCGGAGACTGGCTTGGACTAGTGTGGTAGAAGTAGAGATGGGGGGGAAAGGGGTGGATTCACAGTGTGTTCTGGAGGGAGAGCCCATTGGACTTGCCAAAGGTTGGCTGTGGGGTAGATGATGCACAGAGAGGCTGTGAGCTACTCCTCCATTGAGGGGACCCTCTGATACCCGCATTCCCAAAGAAGAGCTTCCCATCTGTGTCTCCATGCTGGGGATGTGTGGGAGGTACTAATGGGGGGAAAGGGGGACCCTTTCTTTCCTAGATTCTCCTTTGTAGGAAGGGTTTCAGGAGCACTTTCTGTCCCCAGAAGCAAGTACCTTGTGTGACACTGAGGTATTCTCCCAGAGCAGACCTTGCTTTGGGAGAGATTGGAGGGTCAAGTGGAGAGGGAAAACCCGGAGGCAAAGACCAAGTCTGAGCACCCCTAACCCCCACCTGCATCTGCAGCCCTGGATTTCAGCTTTGGTGAAGGAGTCCTCCTGGTCCCCCTTGTTGGGGTAGAGGTGGGGAGGGTTCATGGTGCAAAGGGCTGTCCCCCAGGGAAGCCCTCATCTAGGGCTTTATTAGCCACTGACAGTGGAGGCTCACCTGAGTCAGGGGAGGCCTTTGCAACAGTCTTGGTTCAAACGAAAGAACTCACAAAACAGTGGCTTCCCTCTGAAGCCTAGTTATTATTCCAATTAAGCCACCGCAAACTCTGCTCCCTTAATAACACCCAGCCAGGAGGACTTGGGGGTGTTTCATGGAGGGCAGGTTGGATGGGGAACTGGCTGAGGGTGGGGTGCAGGTCTGCATGCTGGGGGTCAGTGGTCCTGAGCAGCAGGGAACAACATTATGAGAAGGGTGGCGGCAGACAGGGGTCCTGCTCTAGAGGACCTTCCTTACTGTGCATTACTGCTCCCTATCTGGTGGGCGCTGGTAGGAGGACTGTCCACCTGGCCCAAGGTATTAATATAATAACTAGCACCTATGTGGAAAGTGAACCACTGTGCTAAGGGCCTTATGCTGCTCTCATTTATTTTCACCAGCTGATTCTAGCCCACGGATGTGTTTAGTTTGGCCCTCTCAAAGTGCTTTAAAAATTCTGCATCAGTTGCCAACATTTTAAGCTCTGGAGATTTGTGTAAAAACCCAGATCCAGTTTGTGTCCTCTGGGAGGCGTATCTGTCCCATGGTCCCTGGTCTAGTGAGGGGCAGAGCTGGGATTGTAACTCGGTACCCCTGAATCCAGAGCTGCTGCTTTTATGCTATGAAGGAGCCTGGCCCGGAAGTGCCCGCTTTGCTAGAAATGAAGAGCAGTGCGATTCCTGTACAGCCCGTTGCCGGGGAAAACAGGTGGGCGCATTTATAGCACCTCTCCTACTCCTATCCCACCTGTGGCAGGACTGGGCTGGGAAGATACAGGCTAGAGTCAGGGTTCTGTTAAAGTCAACTTTGTCACCCTCAGACCCCAGAGGACAGTGAGGATGGACTGCTGTGGATGGCGGAGCATTATTGCCCCATGCGGTCTGTGACCTGGGCCGCTGGCCTGATTACACTCTGCTGCACACAGGCAGGGAGGTCTAAAGGTCAAGAGCATGGTCTCCTGAGTCAAATAGACTTCTTACAAGCACTGCAATCTTGGGCAGGTCACTTAACCTCTCAGCTTCGTTTTCATCTGCAAAAGGGAAGCAACTGTCATGCCTATGGGCACCTAAGGTTTGCTCTGAGGGCTTAGTGAGGTCTCTGGGTACCAGGATGTCTCCCTCCCCCGCCGCAATTTGTGCTTGGCGATTTTAGCCCTCATTGGTCCCACCACCCTGCCATCCATGCTGCTCACAGCACCAGGCGTCCCTCCGTCTCTCCACACCCTCTTCAGAGCTGGGCAACAAGCAGCCCCAATGAGCCTGTCATCCTGAGCCTGCCGTTGGGGGACACTGGGGTGGAGAGAAGCTCCTGGCTGAGGTCAAGCTGGAGGCAGGCTGGTCATCCTGGTCAGCTCAGAGGTCTGGGTAGTCACGCCCTGCCTAATTTCCTGGTCTCTGCAGGGCTGCAATAGGAGAAGGGGAAACCCAGACTTGGGGCTGCAGCAGGTGGCAGGAGGGATCCCAAGCAGGGTGGGGAGCCTGGCTGGCCTGCAGCTGGGCTGGGCAGCAGGGCTTTCTCCCTGCTGACACTGGCTCCTTGTCCTTTGCTGTGGGGAGTGAGGCAGCCCAGGGTCCAGACTAACAGGAGCATGGTAGAAAGCACTCTGGGCCCTGAGCCCCAGACCTGTTCTCACATTAGGACTTAGCCACTGGCTAGCTGTGAGACCCAGGATATGTGAACAAGCCACTCGGTGTGCTCCCCTCCAAGAGGGGCCAAGAGCAGTCCCTGCCACCCAGGAATCTGCAGGATTAGAGGAAATAGTGGGTGGAAAAGCACTTCCAACAGGCAGGAGCTGACAAGGGCACAAAGGCAGCTCAGTGTGGGCTCAGGGATCAGGCCACGTGGACTCAAATCCCAGTTCAGTCAGTTACTACCTAGCAGGACAAGGAACTGAGCCTCCCCAGTAAATGAAGCTAATAGCTTACAACTCACCGGGTTGTTGGGAACGGGAGATGGCTGAGAGGGTGTGGGTCGAGGAGTGAGCCCAGCATGGGACAGCCGCCCTCCTTCCCTTAAAGTTAAATGCTGCCATTGAGAGAGAGTTGGTTTGGACTTGTATCTGGAGAAGAACACTGGAGGAGAGAGGGAGCCCAGCCCGGGACCAGTTACCCTGGGCCTGGTGTGTCTCAGGGACCCGCTTGGAGCCTCCCGGCCCCCACCCCCGTGTCCACACTCCTCTGGCGGCCCCTCTCAGGATGTGTCCTCAGTGCTTTCTTGGCTGGCTTATCCTTAAACTCAGATCTCATGGTCCTGCTGGAAAAATCAGTCTTGTTTCCTCTGCCCTCCCCTCCTTGGCACCCAGCAGGGCACCAGTTGCAACTCAAGGGTGGGAATGGATTCTTCTAAGGGCATGAGTTTCCTTGGGTGGAAGCTGGGGCTGGGCAGGTCCTAGTCACTGTTCAGCCTGGGCTGACCCCTCACACCCTCACCCTGCCGTGCTCTCTCTCTCTCTTCTCAGACTCCTACTCCTTTGAGGCTCAGGGCTCAGGAGGTGGGAGAGGCAGCCTCCTCTCCTCCCACCCCACCCCTCCCTAGGGTGGGTGGGGCAGGGATGGGGCTGGCTGAGAAGAAGGCTGGGGCAGGGCCCTGTTCTCATTCTTCTGCTGGAGCAGGTGAGGGTGGGGAGGTGGGCTCCTGGTGAGTTTCTGAGAGACTGAGGATTTCCCAAGCTGCCTGTGGGTATAATGGGGCCTGCCTTTTGTTGCAGATGGAAGAGAAGAGGCGAAAATACTCCATCAGCAGCGACAACTCGGACACCACTGACAGTAAGGCCTTCCGTTTGGGGCTTCTACAGGGGGAGCATTTGAATAATTACCAGGCCCAGATTGGGGAAGGCTGCCCCATGGTCTCAGTGTTGGCTAAAGTATAAATCAGATCAGATCCCTCTGCTCCGAAGAAAGTCCCCACACCACTCTAGCCCCCGGAGCCTTGCTGTTCTCTTCACTCTGGGAGCACGTCCCTGGCCCAGTGGCTCTCCTGTTGGGTCAGGGCCCTGTAACAGGGTCAGGGCCCTGTAGGAGGTCTCTTCAAAACCAATAGGAAACTTGTTACTATTCTAATTATCTGATAAGTATCATTTCCTAACCACTGGTAAGCTCCTTGATAAGAGGGGTCATGTCTTGCTCACTGCCTTATCCCCAGTTAGATCAGGCACATAATAGGTGTTCAGTAAATATTCAGCTTACATATTAATGGCGTCTGACCTTCATGGGATCTTGGTAATAGAATCTCAGAGGTAGACTTGTGTATGGGCTGGGGGTGTCATTTGGATGTCTGGGAGTGGGAGGGCATTGTCAGTGAGAAAATCGGGCTGAGGGAGCCTCTTGTGACATTTGGGGGAGGTTTGTGTAAGGTGAGAGCCTTTCTCAGAAGGGAGCTCGTCTCAGCTGCCCCAGGAACTGGGCCCCGCATGAGCTGCTTGAAGTAAGGAGTTCCCTTCTGCCCTGTGCAGGAGACACACTGCCAGGAGGATCCCGCCTAGTGGTGTATCCTGGTGCAAGCCCAGGCTAAGGAACAGGCTGCACTGCCAGGGAGGCTGGGCCTGGAGCCCTGCACCAATAGACCCCAGAGTGTGCACATATGCGGTGAGCGCCTGGGATTAGGGAGATCACCAAGGCCTCTTAGAGCTCCCCGAGTTCCACACCCCTCCCTCTAACCAAGAGCCTGAGACAGATGCACTGGGACTTGGGTCAGGCCCCAGTTCCTTCCCCCCATCTAGGTCTCATTTGCTGTCCTTGGGGGTCTGTTTGCTCAGCTTGGCTCTGGTGTCTAACCTGGCCAGCCCTTCCTCCCTGCGGCAAGAGATCACAGCGTCTGGCCTTCTGTGGCTGCAACCACGCTGCCTGTGGCCTGGCTCAGTAGAGCCAAAAAGAACCGCATCCTCTACTTCTAACTTTATTGCAAGCAAAGGAACCCTTGAGGGCGGAGCACCTGCAGGTATGGGCTTCTGGGCAGCTGAGCCCTGTAACTGCATCAGGATTGGGTGAGACTGAGGCTTCCTCCTTTTCCCTGTGCCCACCCATGGCCGCTGCTCCTTTGACCCATAGGGATGAAGACCACAGCCCTGTAGCCTAGCAAGGGTCTCAGACCCTCATAATAATAGCTGATGTTTATTGAGGCAGCACTGTGTGCTGGGGACGATGCTAAGATTTACAGGCATGGTCTCATCAAATTCTCACAACCCTTTGAAGACAGTTACTCTCTTGCTCTCATTTTATAGAAGAGCAAACTGAGGTTCAGAGAGAGAGAGTCATTTGCCCAGGGTGCCAAGCTAGTAGGTGGCTGAGCCAGGGCTCAAGCCTGCTCTGGGTCTGCTTTCGAGCAGTCCTCTTCCCACTGCCCTGTCCTGCCTCTGTCTACCCACTTAGCTGATATCACACGGAGGAAGCAGAGGACCAGAGAGGGCAAGGGTCTTGTCATGGGTCACACAATAAGCTAACGCTAAGTCCTAGCTCCAGCCTTTTATTTTCCAAGCCCTTTCTGGTTGATGAGTGGAGGAGGCATCATGTCCCCACTCATCATTTGAGGGGCCCAGAGCAGGGACAGCCCACCAGGTGCTCACAGAGGTGTCCGCCTCCTGAACATTCAAGCCAGAACTTTCCTTACAGGCTTCCTATTCTTGGGTGTGGGTGGGTGGGTGGTGTTCCTGGCCTTCCAGGGGCCTCTAACGAGCTGTGTTCTCTCTGCAGGTCACACTACATCTGCCTCACGATGCTCCAAACTGCCCAGCAGCACCAAGCCAGGCTGGCCCCGGCAGAACGAAAAGAAGCCCTCAGAGGTGGGTAATGACAAGTGTCCTGGAGAAAGAGGAAGCAGAGGTGGGGAGGTGACAGCAGCAGAGACCTAGGGAGAGTTAGGGCTGCAGATAATGTGGGGGAAGAGCACGCCTGGCAGAGGACACAGTCATTGCCAAGTCAGGCCAGTGTGGCTGAGTGGAATGAATGGGGGAGGGGATGCCAGTTCTTAGCCTTGTAGGCTGTAGAGTTGTTCCTATTGGTCTGAGTCAGAGGAGAAGTCTTTCTAGGATCATCAGCAGGGTAATGGCATAGCCTTATGTTTTAATGGAAGGTCCCACTGGCTGCTGTGAGAAGGGAATGCCGGGGACAAGGGCCGAGGCAGGAAGCATTCTTTTGCAACTGCAGTTGACCAGGAGAGAAACAATGGTGGCTTCCAGCCCAGTGGTGGCAGTGGAGTAAGAAGCAGTAGGATTCAGGACACTATGGAGGCTGAGCCCAGGATGACAGGACGGCTGATGTAGGGGTGCAGGATGGGGTCCTGAGAGTAATCCAGCTAAGTCATCTATCTATTCCTGATTATGCTCAGTTCATGTGCATCTTCATTTTAAGCCTTCCTTACTTTGTTTGACCTGGGATGTTTCTTGTGGCAGGTAGAGGTGTTTGGCTTCTGGCGCTGCGGAGAAAAGCAGCATCAGGGCTGGGTGGACGAATGGGAAAACCCACACCCCAGAGCCCCATTGCTCCCTCTTAGGTCGTCAGTGCCTTTCGCGGGGCACAGATGAGGCTGCAGAGCATTGAGTGTGTAAGGTGGGGAGGGGAGAAGGGGTTGAGTCTGGCCCTTAAGAAAGGCATTGTTATGCAGCCTCCTGAGGAGCCAGGCACTCCGGACACTTTAGTTTTTTAATCCTTAAAAGTAGCCCAGACTTCTCAGTCCTGTTATAATAAGGAAATTGAGGATCCCAAGGTTATATAGCCAAGACCTGAAGTTTTGGGGGTCAACAGTGGCCAAAGGGGGAAGTCCAGAGTTCTAGAGCTGAGCCCTTGGCTTGGGATGGGGGAGGGTATCTGTGTTCTGAACCTGGTGCCCTCCTCTCCCCGCCCTCACCACAGGGGCAACCTTGGTGCTGCTGTCCTTAGGCAGCCCCTGGGGGTAGGGGTGGGGGTGGGGGCGGGGGCGGGGGTTGTCTTCCACAGAACCTTGCATTTGAAAAACCTCCTGGAGCTGGCTGACCGGAAGACTCTCCCTTTGTGGAGGTGGGGAGTGTTTAAGAACTCCCACCCCCATCCCCCAATCTATTGTCCTCCCTTGGCCCTGTGGAGGAGGGGTGGAGATGGAAGGAGATATCTCCGGGAACGCAGTTAGGACTGGACCGGAAGCTGGAGCTAAGGTGGGCATGGCAGGAGGCTGTTCTGGAGGCTGTCAGTGCTCTCCCGGACTGGCCCTGCTCAGTGGGGATGGGATGTGCCCAGTTGTGCTGGGCAGTAGGAGGCAGAGCGCTAGGGCGCTGGGAGCCCCTGGGACCATCCCTCCAATCCACCATCCCTCTCTCTGCTCCTGCCTGTGCCCCCCCTCCCCCCTTGAGACCTGCAGGGCCTCACCAATTGTTATGGTTAAATTAGTAAAACAATAGCCATCTTTATGTACCTTCCTGGTCCTGGGAGGCAGCGATTGTCATGTCCATTTTAGAGAAGAGGAACCTGCCCCCTGATTTCTGTGGCTATTCAGTTTGGAAAAAGAGAAGTTCTGAGGAGCTCCTGGGGCCGGCTCCTTCTCTTGACTTGCCCTGCCCCACTCCCTCCAAGCACCAGCAGGAGGAGGGGCCACCTCTCAGGGCAGAGATCCAAGGCAGAGATGCCATCTACACCCAGGATAGGCTGGCAGCTGGGAGGAAACAGGTGTCAACCAAGACCGAAGACCGAGGGGAAAGAGTGATTTGCATGGGGCTGAAAATTCCCCTGCCTCTTGGGTTTTCCAGCTCAGAGCCTTTGAACCTTTCCCCTCCTAAAAATAGAGTCAAGCCATTGTAAGGGTGTTGGTGCCGGGCCCTGCTGGGGACTGCCAATGCGTGGCCCCAGGTTCCAGCCCAGGAGCCTCTCGGGGCTGTGAGGCCTCACTGGAGACACCCGCCCTCAAGTTCTGGGCTCCAGGAGCGCTGAGGAAGTCTTCCCCGCCTTGAACTGTCGCCAAGGACAAGCTTTTCCTCCCACAACAGGCTGGAGAGCAGCCTGCGAGGTTTCCCTCGTCCCCTAAGTGAGGAGGTTGAGCCATAGCCACCATAAATTCCAGGCTATCGCGGGGCAGAGAGGAAACCGTCAATGAAAGCTTCCAAATTATTTGGCTCATGAGAAGGCGCAGATGAAAGCGGGGATTTGGCGACAGAGAACCTTTGCACTAAATCTCACTGGGTTATTCCTTTCTCTTTCTGTGAATGGGTTGGGGAGGAGGGCCTTTCTAGTCTGCTGGGCCGCTTGAGGACTGAGGGCTTTAGACCCTCCAATGAGAGGGAATCTGGGAGCCCCATCTGCTCTCCCCCTGAGTAAAAAAGCCTGTGGGGAGGTTATCAGGCTGGTCACATGGTCTGCTCCCAGTCTGGCCCAGGTTCCCAGCCAAAATATTTGTAAATTGATGTGCATGGTGCAGAAGGAGCCCCCTTTCTGGTGGCTACATGGTTCACTTGTCCCCTTATCTGTGAGTGGACAGTGACGGGGTGGAGGGATTTGAGGACCAGGAGTACTTCGCGTAGCAGCAACGCTAGCGTATAGTGAAGCCAACAGCTATGGAAACGGTTGGAGTTGGGTTTAGATGAGACCGGAGGGGCTGTTGCTATGATGACCTACCAAGGTCCGCCCTTTCCAATGCACCCAGAGGTTGCAAATCAAGGGACTTTGTTTACACAGAGTGAGGTGCCCCAGGGCCGGAAAAAGTGCTCCAACCAGGAGTCAGGACCCTGGACAGGGCCTAGGCCTTGAGGCCCAGCTTCTCTTCAGGCCCTTAACCAGTGGGGGGCCTTTCTCAGCCAGAGTAAAGAGGAAGTGCGGACCTCCATGCTGGGGGCTGAAGGGACCGCCCCTGGGGTAAGGTCTTAGGGGGCTGGGTTAGGGTTTTTGGTGGAAGTGCACCAAGGTTGGCCGCAGGGTCCCCTTTGGCAGTGGAGGGAAAAGGTAGTGCTGATCCCAAGGACACAAGCTGCTGCCTTCCTCTGCTCTGCCTGCCTGCAGTATCCCAACAAAGCTGAGATCTGTTCCTTGGGGCTTAACCCCTTAAGGGATTAGCCTGGCCAGGCGAGGTGGTATTCGTGTATAAATGGTGCTGAAGCTTTGAGTTTCTGGCCTGGCCGCTCAACAAACGGCGTAACCATTATTGGTGCTTCAGACTTTGTGGGTCATCTCTCTGTGAACCTGATGGAGATCACAGACCCCCATCCTACCTCACCTCCAAGAATTCTGACTTAAATGGTCTGGAGTTGGGTCGCAGGTCCCTGTACTATTTAAAAGCCCTCCCGCTGGAAACCAGGGTTAACAGCTACTGCCGTAGACCTTTGCCCTTAATTTGCTAAGATAGGAGTTCCTGGCTTGGGCCTTTCTGGAAGGTTCTGAGGTTGACAGGGTGGAGGGGATGGGGGTGGGGGAGGCTTTCTAGGCTGATAGACTGATTCAGAGACCTAAGCAGAGGCAGAGAGTGTGGGTGGGGCAGTTCCCCAGCTCACCCCCGCCCCCCATGGGTTCTAGGGGACTGACAGGTTTTTGCTAAGCCCTCGGCCTGGCAGGGCCATTCAGGAAGAGACCTTGGAGGCTGCTATTTGAGGCTGTGTCTTCCTCAGGCCCGGCAGAGAGGCAGGTGGGAGGGCAGGCTGAGCAGTGGGGGTTTCCCCCATAGGCTGTCTTGAAGTAGAAAGCTGTGTTTTTAGGAAGTCAGAGTCCCCAGAAGTCAGCCAGTGGGCAGGGTAGGGACATGAGTCTTCAGGACCCAAGAACTCCTGACACAGATTCAACTCAGCAAGCACTCAAGGGTGCCTCGTAGGGCCCTGCTGGTTCTAGGGGGACAGAAAATTCAGGCCCCGTCCCCGGGGAGCTGGTCCTCTGGCTGTCAGCAGGATGCAGGTGCTATACAGGAAAGTGTCCGTTATGAGAGATGCAGCCAGCTTTGCCACTGAGGAGCTCTGTGACCTTGGGCAAGTGACTTTCTCTCTGAGCCTCAGAGCTGCCATCCATAGAGCCCAAACCTGCCATGGGATTTCTGTTTTGTAGATGTGACTGTCCTTTCCTGCAGCCCGTGGAACCTGGGGGTGGGGGCGACCCCAGAGTGAGTGGAAGTGAAGCTGGCCTCCCTGGAACGGAAGCCTGGATGGGCCCAGAACAGGGTGGGTGGGAGTTGGAGCCAATCTAACTGTTGGCTCCTTTGTAGGCACTGGTGACAAACTCGTATATCCCTAAATGAGGGAATGGGACCTCTTTGCAGGTTCCCTGGGGGCTCTTCACCAGTGTTCAGCCTCTCCACCCTGGGACCAGGGCCTGGGAGAAAGAGATGATCCTTTTGGGCAGCCTCTGCCACCAGTGGGGTGTCCCCAAGACCCAGTGTTGGTAAAAACTCTTGCCTAAAGATGGCTTCCCCCAGAAAAAAGGCAGTGAGTGAAGAAGACTGAGGATGCAGCTCCTTGGTTAGACCCACTGCTTTTTAAAATGGGACTCTCTTATCCTGGGTAAAGGCAGGAATGCCCAAGTGTTGGAGTGCAAAACTGCAGGGTCAGTAAGATGCCTTCCTGAAGGAGCAGAGGTGTTATCCAGACATTTGACACAACTTATTTATATTAAAACAATGATGGCATATATTGTAGTAACATGCAAAATGAGAGATAGAACAGGAGAATCCATAAAACGCTTTTGTGCTTGCCCCTGTGGATTCGAGCCCTGTTTCCAGCCAGCGGCTCCCCTGCTACCCTGCAGCAGGCGGGTGGGGAGGGGAGAGCCCTTCCACTGGGCTCAGCGCCTGCTTGCTGAGTCTCCCGCTGCCTTCCTCTGGGTGGGGGGCAGAATCCACTTC